TCTCTCTCTCTCTCTCTCTCTCTCTCTCTCACTCGGTACACATAAGTTTACTTGACACAAGTATACTCTAAATTAACAAACAACGGGAAATGGCTTCAACTATCTTCAACATATCCATTTACTCTCATACACGCGAGATAACTTGTAATCACTTCGACAGATTAACAGACTCGAAATAGAATTAACAAAGAATAGGATAATAACATGAATTAAAGTACTTGTCATTTTGTGAATTATCGTTCACGTTGTATCGTGTGTATACTTACCCATCGTTTATCCTCCGTAGCAGACTGCGTGTGAAAGAGTAAGCAAAGAAACAGGCGAGATAAGACATGTTTCAACTTTCAACACTATCTTTACTTAAGTTTGGGAGGAAAAAATTTTCTTTTTACCTTTGGCGCCGGAGTTAATGGCGTCGGTGTCGTGGCCTGTTTCTCAATTTCATTGCTCGACTAAACCGAAATTTTGTTAATTACGTACGCGTGTTAAATCTTATGTAACTTTTTTTTAATTATTATTATTATTATTATTATCATCAATACCTTGTCCTTTTCTATTGACATCGCGAAGCGGCTTGTAAAGAAAAAAAGAAGAATCGTAAATTACACATATTTATATTTAAATTATATACAGCGTCGTACAAATATCGTTCAACGTGTATTTATGATAAAATAAAATCATTTGCGAAATAACATTTATGAGAACAGACGTAGATAATATAATCATCAAATCTGTCCTTATGTAAGATTAAACGATTCGAATATTTCGAATTATTTCATAATAGTTCATAATAATTATTATAATTAATCATAAAATTATAAAGTAAAAATAAAATTATAAAATAATAATTAATTATTCATAATAATTATTTCATAATAATTTCATAATAATCGTGCGAAATATTAACATCGAAATAATTTGAAAAGCAAACATTCGAACATACTCGATGAACAGAATTTATTATGAAGTGAAAGCGGCAATGAGAGACTAGGTAAGAAATTCACGTATGACAGTTGAAATTCATGTGATAAGATTTTTCATTATTGATTAGTCATGATGGAACAGTTTCATACTTTTATGTCACGGTCGCTTATTATAACAATATAAAATACTAGCGTATAATTCTCGAATTTATATTTTAAATTTTTATTCAAATTTAGATTATTTGTTATTTTGTGTCAGAATAATTTATAGCCAATATTTAATGCGATAACAATGTACAAAATGATTTTAACATAACTTCTCGCTTAACATATGAATTAGATAATACTCATCGGCCTAAACATTCTAATGCAATTTTTTTTTTTTTGTACATCAATGCTCTTTAATGTTATAATTATAGAACGTCTCATCTGAGAGGACTCTACCTTGTATTTATTTAAACATATGTACGTGAACATATGTACATGCAGAAAGCAATCAAACTTCGCCTCGATCGATATGAACAACGATATGAATCAATATGTAAATGTTTAAATATATTTAAATATATCGGAGATGATAATTGTCACACGCATTTTAGACGAACTCTTAACGAAAGATGAGTTTTTATACATGTGTAAGTACATATTGCTTCACATGCATCACGTAACACGCGCCGTATCATTACATCACGTAATTTTATTTAAAAATCACAGCCTCTATTTAAATCAGTTGTTTCATCGTATTGTTTTATCATTTTAAGTCAAAATCTAACTGCAGGAACAACAATTCTGGTCAAATCACCTATACTTTCTCTTATCCACAGTCATTGTGATTAATAGATACAAATAACCTAAACCTGATCGATGCTCATTTCATCCAGGCCCTCGATATACATATACATATATTTATTTGTATTGTATGTATTATTATTTGTACTCCTTACAAACAAAACACATTTTTATTAGCCAAATTCATCGTATAATATACGATATCAAGTAGCAGAGTAAACAAATTTCCTTCCTACTTGTAAACTAACCCAATGTCAACCAGCAACTTATGCGTTGATGTTTTCACGAGGCAAAGGAAGAACTGATGCAATGAATTTTCATGAGAGAAATAGTCCACTCTTACCGCGCGAATAGAAAGCGCGAGCGAATGAAACATGTACGTATATATGCAAGTAAATGCTTGTAACTTACTGTTGATGACGTAGTCAAAGAAAACGCGGGTTCGACTCGATTCCAGGCGAGTTCCCGTTCGATCCTTGCTTGCTTATATCTCCTTGGTAAACGAATGACCGACCGAAGAAGCTTTCACTATAGTTTTCGGGCGCACGCGCGAAAATTTACCGGTTTATACCTTTTATTGCAACTGCTAATCTAGGGCTGCTCGAGCTTTGATTCATTTGGAAAATTACGTCTAATCCAGCCTTCCAGACCACGTGACGTGGGCTAACAATCAATAACGATCCGCGTAAGAAAAAAAAAAAAATAAACTCACACTTTTCTTTTGCCGCCCTCAGTTATTGACTATAAATATTTTTTGCTCATTTTAACACTATGGTTTTTCAAAAACTATTCTTCTTTAAGTCAATTTCTTTGAAATAAAATAACATTAACGGAGCTTAATTAAAGATTGCATATGAATCGTATATATAATTGATCACTCGAACAATATTTCATTTACCGACGTTTTATCAAACATTGCCACAATGGACGGTTGCGAAAGACATCTCACTTCGAAAAAGTCGAAAAATAATTCATAGTCGTTCGTATACTTTACTGTTGCATAACAGTTGTTTTATATTCTTCTACATTTCACGTTGATAGCTCTTGTATATGCTGCGAATCTTTACTTATTGATTTACAATGTGCATAATTCGAAAAACAATTAACCTCAAATATCGTTAATTGCAAATATTACGCAATACTGTCTTCGATTTATACTACCAATTCTATTCCGGACTCGATTGATCGCTTTTATTACGTGATTTATCTTTTAAAAGTACTATCACAATCAATTTAAATGTAAGTATATATATATATACACATTTTGATGTTTTCAGACACAACCTTACGATGTTTCTGTGCGAATGAAATTAACGGTATTTTTAAGTGCTCTTTATGTCAGCTCAATATGTTAAATAATGTTCTTTAACCTGTAACACGCGTGTTCACGTAAGGTACGAGCTATACTGACTTCCATTTCTGGCTGTTTTTGTCGAGCCTGCGCTTCCACGGACGCCTATATTGAGACGAACGTTTACCGGTAGATCGATATGTTTTGAAATCTATAATTTTGAT